TTGAATATTTGTGAAATAAAATTAATCATTATTTGCAACAGCTTCCTGATAATATTACTAGTGCAGAAGATTTGTGAAATAAGATACAATTAGTATAAAATCAAATTGATACTGATTTTTATTTAAAGCTAATTAATACTATGTTACAATGAGTTAAAGATATACTTAAGGCTAATATGAGATATATAAAATGGTAATAGTTTTATTAAAAAAAATTAGAGCATAGTTTGTTAAAAAAAATTTTGAAAAATTTGTTTATGATTTTATTTATTATATGCGTCAGAAGTATTGTACCATAAAATTTATGGTTATAAAAGAATTTTTTTTTAAAATTATAAATAAAAAGAAATTTGAATTTGAATATATTATAAAAGAAGTCTTAGACAATACATTAATTAAATCTGCAAATCGTTTGATCATTGAATTTTTATTTATTACAATCTAAAAATTACAAACAAAGTAGTACAATAATTATGGAAGTCACTGTATACATCTAGTAATTAATACTTGATTACTACCTATTTGATATTATAAATTAATTATTTTGTTTAATATTTTCTTTGTATACTAATTATCATAAATTAAAAATTTAATAGAGATCAAAAATAAATTTTCAAAAATAAAGAAAGATGCTTGTATCAAAATTCTAATATGATCAAATACTTTATAGTTGAAACATATAAATCCTTCTTTAATAATTAATTGACTTTGATCTTTTGTATTCAATTTTTTAATATTTTCTTTTGATTTTTCATTTCATTATATATGTACAATCATCTTTTAGCTATTCTGAGTCAATAGTTATTTATATACTAGTATAGTTGCATCTTTTTTTTTATAATAAAGCCATGATTGAGGTCTATCTTTATTTAAATATATATATTATTTTTTTTGTCAATAGTTTCAATATAATTATCTTTTGTACTTTCATCATTTTGGTTTTTTCTTTTAATTATCTTATTTTTTTATTAAGTAAGTATTTTGATATATTAATAAATGAAATTTTAAAAGTAAAACCAAATTTTTTATACACATCAATATATTTTTTTTTGTGCACAAAATTGTGCACATGCACATTGTGCATATGAATTTTAAGTTTGAAAATAAAAGAAGCTATATGATATTTTCAACCTTACCATTACTTACGGAAGTTTACGTAAAAAGGAACGAAAGGAACATGCAGGTTTAATATTGACCCAGTAGCATTTAAAGTTATTATTGAAAAGACGACCCAACAAAGTTCAAATACACAAAAGATCGTAACGGTTATAACGTTTTAAACTAAAATTTAATGAGCTTGATCCTTGAAACAAAAAGATATAACTTTGCATTGTTACGATTTAAAAGTTTTATAACCATATTATAACGAAGATATTTTCACGAAGGGAAAGATCATAAAAAAATTTAATACAATAGGACTTTATATAATAAATCGGGAAATTTTATATCGGGCCTGTAATATTTGTATATCCAATTAAAATCATAAGGATGATTTAAATGTAATGAATAATGAATAAATAAATCACGAATCGTAAACTTGATGTATCGTAAAGACGTCAGATACCAAACAAGTTATTTAGTAATACAAATCCGAGAATATGAATAACGTGTATATAGATTTGGCATATTCAAAGAAATAGAACAATACGAAGATCATCATCCATGAAAACAAAACTCGCATTGGAATCTAATTCTGGCTTTACAGAAATGTTAATTAATATGGAAAACAATAAAATTATATGACATAATTTTGAAGGTAGAAGGTACGAAAGTGATTCTCGTCGTACCGAATAAAGAACTGGGTCTTTACAAATCCAGGATTTATTTTATTGGTGTCTGGCCTGCTGATTTTTGAAATTCCGGAAAAACTTAAAATAGTTAAATAAAAAAGAAAAAGAAATTATTCTGTAACCTTTTTATTTTTTACAAAGCAAGAAAAATAAATAAAACAAGGTCGATTATAACAACGGGCAAAATGGGTTCGGATAAAATGATAAAATTTAATTTCAACTGTAATATTTTCCTTTTTATTTTTTGTTTTGAAATCATTATTTTGTAAACAATTTCTTACAAAAAAAATTTTTTCCTTATTTTTCTTTGCTGTTAAAATTTCCTAAAAGATCATGTAATTAATGTGTTGCCTTTTTATAGAAATAATTGCTTAGCTAAATATATTCATTGCATATTAAACGTGGGGCGTAACTTTTTTTTAAGGTTGTTTCACTACCTGATTTTCTTTTTGGAAATTTTTTTTTTTCTCCTTGTGTTTCCATACATAAGAACTCTTTGTTTGAAACATTTTGTTTTGTTCTTTGTATCACGAAAATTGTAACTTATAATACAAAAATGATTTTATTGTCAAAGATATCAAGTTTCATCTAGTAAATGTGTCTTGTTTTACTTACCATTAATTCGTGGCTTCCTTCATTTTGGGGGCTTTATTTTTTTTTGAATTTCAAATTTTAGATTAGTTACATATACTGCATCTTATGAAATAGCACAGTGCTACTTTATTTACCATTTGTGGCTATACTTAATCATTTGGGTATTTATTTTGTTTACTGTGTTTTAAAGTAAAAAATTTTTTTTATATAATATGCATCCTTTTGTTCTTTTTTGGTTTTTTTTTTTTTACCCCTTCGCTGCCTATTTCAAACCTCAAAACATAAAAAAAAAAAAAAAATATTTATTTAAAATAGTTATATATATATACATATATAATTAAAAATAAGATGTCTTCACCTAACAGTTCTCTTCCCAGATCATCGTCAAAAAGACGTCCATCGGTTATAGACGTGACGTCGAAAATTCATGAAGAAGACATAAAAAAATCACTGCTGGCAGCGAAAACTCCAAATATAATTTCAAAACGTCGTGGATCGGCTGTTTCGATTGAATCCATTAAATCAAATTCTCGTAGAAGTTCTATTGTAATGATAGACTCTATTACAACAACTTCAACTTCAACTTCTTTATTGAGAGAAATCACCACCACCACCACCACCACCACCGTAATATCAGAGATGATTTTATCACAACCAATGAACACCGACGAGTTTATAAAATCTTCGGATTTCTCACCTTCAAAAATGCATTTTCCTCCTCCCCCTCCACCGTTTCCTGACTTTTTCGAAGAGTATGATGAGGATGATAATGATATTATGGAGGATGACGAGGATGAAGTTGATGATATATTTTCAGATGATGATTTAAAAAGTTTTCAAAGATATAAAAAACATAACAGGACATTATCTCAACATGCTCAGCAGCAGCAACAACAACAACATTCACGTTCCCTTTCAACTCCAATAATACCTTCCTTCAAGTCTCAACGTCCTTTAATTCCTTCGATAAACTATGATAATCATAATCAATATAAAAAACGTGCCAAAATATCTTCTAGGAAATTAACAAATTTTTTTGGAGATAAACCTCCAATAGATATTTGTGTTAGGGAAATTGAAAAGGAAGGGTTAAAAGCTATCTTGCATTCAAAAATACCTCTATGCTATTTCTTATATTCGTTGCTTGAAGAGTATTCATGCGAAAATTTGGTACGTCCCTTTTTAAGAAAATGGCGTGAAAAATATTGACTAGCATACATTAGAATTCGTTCAATTAACATATTTCGAAACTTTTTTTTTTTCAGTTTTTCTTTCTAGAGGTAGAGCAATATGAATCATTTGACTTTTTAAATTCAACGCAACAGTATACAACGGCACAACATATATTTGATACATATTTAACTCGTAATTCACAATTTGAAGTAAATATTGATGATAAAGTTCGTAAATCCGTCATAGCTTCAATAAAGAGTCAACGTGATCCAAGAAATTGTTTTGACGATGCGAAGAGAGCCATCTTTGTGTTGTTGGAAGTTAGCTTTGCTCGATTTATCCGAAGTCCCACAGCCGAACTAATGAAACAAGAAATAGGTATGTTGGGCTATCATGTGAATCGAAATAAAATATCATGTCGATAACCTTAATGCTAAACTTTCTTTTTATTTTGAAAGGAGTGAATACGACTCATTATTCGGAAAGTGCGCGAGATGCCGCGATATTTATGTTATTCCGATATTTGGAAAAACAAAATGCATCACCACCATTTTTAAGCTCAAAACCCACTAAACCATTTATGATTTCCACAAATAAACACACGGATAATGAAATCGACATTATATCACCACTTCCATCACCAAGTTTACTGGTATCGCAGAAAAGGAATGATTTGATCCGTACAATGATTCATGAATTTTTAAAGACCTTATTAGAAATTGATGTAGAACATTTTTATTATGAAAATTTTAGTAGGAATAATAAAAATAAAAGTAGTGAAAAGGTTAACGAAATATATTATAGTGGCGATAATGGATATGGTAATAGAATTTACACGGGCGGTAATGGAACTAACGGTGGTTATGATGATGACTTTGATATTTGGAGTAACGATGATGAATGCATTGAAATGATGAATACTGGGAAAAAGATTTCCACAAGAGACCAATTAAAGAAAAAACCATTTAGGAGGCCGACAATGAAATCCGGAAGGAAAATTAAATGAAATGTCCTCGAAGGATTATCTATTGTATTTGGAATGAACCATTTTTTTTTTTTTTTTTTTTTTATTTTACATTTTACATTTACATTTACATTTACATTTATTTTTATTTTTATTTTTATTTTCATATTTTATAGAGTGGGAATGGGATATAAATTCTGGGTGGGGGGGGGGGTTCATATACTAGTATTATTATTTGTTTTCAAAATTTGTATATTTTTAAAAATATCATAATCTCAATTGCAAATGTACAATCATCATATCAATCAATTAGAACAAAAAAAAAAAAAAATTCTAATGACTAATACATAAATCTTTTTTTCTGGCGGAAAATTATTTAATTTATTTTTATTTTTTGCGTTTAAGCATTTTCAACAAGGAAAGAATAGAAAAGAAAGTATTCTCAAATCCATTCAATTAATTCGAGAAATAAATTAATTTTAAACCAGATTTAATAGATTTAATTTAAACCATTGATCAACTATAATTGCGAAAATGCCAATGATGACTAAAGCAACAAAACCCCAGATACTTGCTTTTCTACAACATTTTCTCCACTTGTAATCTTCGGGAATGGTGGGTTTAGGTAAGTAAAAACTGCCTAACCACCAAACCGGCATAAATAAAAACCCAAACCAAAAGAAATATTTACCATACAATATTCTTTCATTATTTTCTTCAACCAAATCGGTAATAATATTATGATTAGCAAGAGGTTCGTTATTATTATTATTACCACTTACCGAGTTGCTCGTATTTTGCTCATGAATGGAATCATTTGTTATTAAACGAGGTAATTTTAAACTTGTAGGAAAATTGTAATAATCAGGTAAAGAATATCTTCTGAAATCGGAATAACGTCTTGGGGGAGTATAAGAGGAATGACGATGAGGACGAAACAACGGATTATGATTAAATGATGATGACAACAATGACGATGATCTCGCCCTAAAATGAAAACTATCCGGTTTAATTTCTTGTAATATCTCAAAAATATTCGAACTTTTTTCACTCATACTATTATTTTTAGTATCAATATTAATACATCTTAAATTGGAAGTTTTCAATGGTGACAATGTTTCATTGATGCTAGAGTTTATGCTTTCACAAGATGTTTGCACGAACTCTGCCATATAAAGCGAAGAAGAACGGGATGAAGGGAAAATTGTACTTGATCGTATACTGGATCCCTCTTCTTTAGTTGATTTCTCTCGAAAGAGCTCTTCCTCGAAAGAAAATTCTTGGATGATGTCATCATTGGAAGATTCCTGAGAGGATTCCTCTTTGAAAGTATCTTCGTTGAATGATTCTTCCTTGAAATAACCTTCTTGAGATGATAACTCTTTTAAATTGATTCCTTGAGTAGAATACAATTCATTGGAAGATTGTTCTTTAATTCCTTCACTAGGAATTCTTTCATTGGTTGAGAAAAATTCTCGATTTACATCAATTTCGAACTTCTCATTGGTAACATTTTCATCTCCCATTTTTTAATTCTTTTGAATAAATTTTTTTTTTATTTAATACAACATTGAAGTCCAATCATTAAAAGATCACTTTTTTTTTAATAATACAGTATATATAGATTTTTTTTTTTTTTAAAAAAGAAAAAAAAAAAGGCCCCACAATTAGTTTTAAAATATTATTTATACATTATATAAAAAGATTAAGGAACAAATTCAAAAAAAAAAAAAAAAATTTGACGCGTTTTCGCCAAAATAAAGAATTCCATATCGAGTAAAATTAAAAAAAAAAAAAAATATCCCATAAATTCCAGGACGAGATCAATTATTACTTTTTTTTAAAAAAAAAAAAAAATAATGTTTTTGTGGTTAGACCTGTTCAAACGTCTTACGGATGTATAAATATTGACATCATCTCCTACTGGTACCTTTTGCCATAAGGAAAAAAGGGTATCCCCGTTGTTGTGTTACTACGAATCAGGTGACACAGATTATCATGAACGAATCCTTTGAAATGTCAGTATAGCACTAACGTAATAAATAAATTCCTTTGCGTTATCACATGTGCATAATTTTTTCTAATCAGACTGTATGAACGCGTTTCGATTTCATCAAATCGGGAAAAAAAAAGAAGAGATCACAATAAAAGGTTATCTATCATTATACTACTGAAATGTCTTACCCAAATAAAGAGTTGATTCTTTTTGAATTAGATAAAAACTTTTTTTTTTTTATGAGATATGGAAAAGAAAGAAAGGAATAATAATAAGCCACCTTTTAAACATCAGCCCCTTAGAAAATAGCCATGCTTGAGCCACTTTTTTTTTTTTCTTTCGATTTAGAAAAGAAAAGAAATAGATGTATATATTTCTTGTTTACATAGAAATCTTACCATTTATCTGATGTAAAAAAAAACCGTATTGAAATTCACCAAAAAAAAAAAAAAAAAAAAATAGATCGAATTCATTTGAGAAAAAATTTTAAGGCAAATATCTATCTAATCAATTAAAATGCATTGGTTGAAACATGAACGTATTTCAAGAGTTTTCGTGGGTTAAGAGGCATTTGTGGATCGATCTTGTTCCTTGCCTCCTTTTTTCACCACACAATAGTTTACAACGCATTTATAGGAAAACAAACAATAAAAGTAAAAGGCAAGTTTCCAATTCGAAAAAAGCCTCAACATGTATAAAAAATGGATGGTTCTAATCGAATGATAAATTATAAATGAAGCCACAAAGAAAATTATTAACAAAGTCGTGATTAAAAATAAAAAAAAGGATAAAAACATTGTTGCAAAGATTTAAAAGATAGATAGATAATCCTTTTAAATTTATATACATATATAAGAAAAGAGGAAATTCTTAAAAAAAGAAAAACTTTGATTTTCTTTTATTTAAAATCTTTCAAAAATCTTTTTTTCAAATGGTGTCGAATCGTGATTATATCGAATATAATAAATCTGATGAAGAGAAAATTGCTATAAAAGAGGAAGTTGTAAGAAATCACTTTAAAAAATTTTTTTTCACTACTTTTCTTAAACACTTGAAATTAAAATCTTTCGATAAATCTTTCTAGGATGGCAATTCAACAAAAGATTATGATGAAAAAGAATCAACAAATTCAATCAGTAGCATGTCTAATGTGTCTAATGATGATTTTGAACTTCAGTTAAATGACGAAAAGTCTTTATTAACACCAGCAACACCAACTTATATTGAGAATGATCCAAAAAATTGGTCAAATACAAAGAAGTCAACCATCCTTATTGTGGTATCTATCTCGGGAATGCTTTCGCACATTGCAAACACGTAAGCGATTATTTAAGGATTGTCACGTGAGTTGAAATCAATGCAATAAAAACTTTGTTTCTTTTAAAGAATATTTTTTCCGGCGATATTGGTCGTACAAGAAGAATTGCACACTACGGAAACGCTTATAAACACAACAGGTTAGTAATCATAATATCGAATTATCATATATGATTGCTTTTAACATTTTAACATCTCGATCATTAGTTGCCGTATTTGTATATATCATGGGAATTGCCGTAAGTTGTTCTAATAGTTAGTTCATTTGTATGAATACGGTTATAAAAAGTTGACATCTCTTTGTTTCCTTTTTTTTCTTCTAATGAATTAGCCATTATTTTGGGCGTCATATTCAGATTTAAGAGAAACCAGAAGAAAAGTGTATATAGTGGCTAGCATAATGTTTATTATATCAGCATTTTTATGTGCGTTTGCATCTAATGTTTGGTTATTAATGATCCTTCGTGCAATACAAGCGACTGGTTCATCAGCTGTATTATGTATCGGTGCAGGAACGCTTAGCGATATTTACGTCCCAACAGGTAAATGAAATAAGGCCCTTTTTCTTTTAATTCTCGGATTGAAATTAACTAATTCGCGTGAAACTCCTCTTATGAAATTACAACAGAACTTGGTACAGCCTATGGATTATTTTATTTTGGATTCTTCATAGGACCGTTAATTGGACCATTGATTGGAGGATATTTGACACAATATATTCATTGGAGAGCGATATTTTGGTTCTTAACGATATATGGAAGCATATTACTTTTTATAATATATCACTTGTTACCAGAAACCTCAAGGCCGAGACAAATTCCGTTGCCAAACATAAAATCCGAAGACTCGATATTATTACCTCCACTTTCACCAAAGAAAAATTATAATCCATTGGCACCATTATCATTATTAAGATATCACAACCTTACGTTAGTAATTTTATATAAAGTTTGGGTAACCTCAACGATTTACGTACAGAACATTCTTATACCGGAAAAATTTGCTATAACTTATGGGCTAACAGCGTCGCAAACCGGATTGGTATTCTTGGCTCCGGGTATTGGATTGATGAGCGGAAGTTTGGTCGGTGGTAGATTATCTGACTATGTATTAAGGAAAAAAATGAGAGAACGTGACGGAACTTACGCACCCGAATTAAGATTACATAGCGCTTGGTTTGGTGTTATTTTGATTCCAACGGCTTACTTTTCTTTTGGTTGGTTGCTCGAAAGTGACGCATGTATCGTATATCCGCTAATTGCGATGTTTTTGGGTGGGTTTGGAACGTTAATGGCATTTAATCCAATATCAACCTACTTGGTAAATTCTTACCCGACACGTAGTGCATCTGTCGTGGCATTAAATAATTTTATGAGGTCCTTGGTGGCGGGGAGTATGTCTGCTCTTGCTGCTCCATTAAATCATTCGATAGGCACTGGTTGGATCTTTACTTTAATGGCTGGTGTGAATATTTTTACTCTGTTCTTCTTAATCTTGGTTTATCGTAATGGTAAAAATTGGAGGGAAAGAATACGTAGAGAAAATCCTACATGATAAATAAATGGGAATTTTTTTTTATTTATTATCATTAAAGTTTTGGTAAGATTTACGAATAAAAAATGTGTGAAACATAAATACTCATTGTTGTGACACAAACACAAAGAGCTACCGCTCGAGGAATCAATTTTAAAATTTCCTCGAGAATGATATTCGAACACTCGAATTATACAGTTAAAAAAAAAGAACTTCGAAAAAATGATACCCTGTTTAACGAATCGTCAATTGATCCTAAAAAAAAATATTCATTAAAATAACTTCAATGCGTTACGACCCTTCTAAAATGGTATGTAGATCGTTTTAGCGCCCAACAATAACAACTTTTGTTGGCAAAACATCTTTTGTGTCCAATTTAGGGAAGATTTTTATAACAATCTTTGGAGGGGATACATACATTCGCATTGTGTGACCTGCAGCTTACGAATAAATATTTGGATAATCATGGGTATTTTTAGATAAAAAAATTTTTTTTTTTCCTTCCTGGAAATTTCGCATATTAAAAAAACATAATAACTTCTTTTAAACGTTAGATAATATATTAATATTGGGGGTTTTTTTTCCTGCAAGGTGAATATAAAAATTAAGAGGTGTTTTAATATAAAGTAAATTTTATCATAAATTTTTTAAACTACATTAAATATAATCATTTTTTAATATTTAACTATTTACTCCGAATTCGTCCTTCAGATTATACGTTACAAAATAAGACCTGTAAGTGAATTTATATGTGATGTAATTAAATCATATGATTGATTCAATGTGTAATAATATCAAAAAATTTTTTTTAAAAAGGTTTCTTCATTAATCTATTATTATGGCATTCTATTTACCACGAGAATGTTTGGAGGAGATATTCCACATTTTAGAATATGATAAGTCCACATTATATTCTTGCCTTTTGGTAAATAGATTTTGGTGTAGTAGCGTAGTCAAATTCCTATGGAAACAGCCTTTTCAACTAGTCAAAAGGCCAAATCCATCTCTCATCGAAATCTACACTTCCTCATTTTCTCATGCGACTAAAACTTACCTCTTGTCCGAGGGAGTTTACATTTCATCCATTAATGACCCTAAAATTTTCGATTATCCGTCTTTCATCCGTGGATTTAGATTTGAGGATTTATACGAGTCAACATCGTTGTGGTTACAAGAAGGATACGAAAAAGGACGACAAATTAGACGTGACCCCGAAGTAATCGACGAAAAAAGATACGATACCATAGTATTCGATGATCTACGTATTGTGAAATTATTGGTCAACGAACTTGTTAAACTCTTCTTTTCGAAAATTCGAGTGCTCGACTTTCTTTCATTGAATACTCAAAGGTTAGTCGGATTAATTGATAGGAGATTTTGGACACACCATCCTGGAGACATTCAATACACCCCGACGAGTTTTGAGGAATTTCGTAGTTCTTATGGTTTTGACGATTTATTAAATATTCCGAGTTATCCTGGAGCGATTGATTGCCTAAGGTATTTACAAAAATTTGAATACGGAGGTGGTTCGACTGATGGAAGGATTATGCAAGTTCTCTCGGAGATATCCAAGAACCTCAATACTTTGGAGATCAATTTTTCATCGTGGCAAGGAAAGCACCCAGATCCACAAATGATGTTAAGCCTCTTAAAAGCTCAACATCTGTTACGTCGCGT